GAAATCGATTTGGAAAATGTGAGGTCTTGTCTTCCCTCTCGTTTGATTGCCTACCAATTTCCTTTCCTTTGGTTAGGCTTGGTTAGGCTTAGTTGTGAAAGAACATTTTGTGCTCATGGAGGTTGTATGGACCGGCTTATGGACAATGTCCAAGATAAATAGGTACAGAACGGGTCTACCTAGGAGAAGTGATCCTGACCGAAGCCACACAAAATCTGGAGCACACACCAAAGAACAAAGCTAGGCCTTCAGACTTTGCCATGCAGAGTTTACAGTGGCTCGCTCCTCTTATCTATGCCGTGGTCCTTCTTCTGAAAAAGGCAGCCTTTAAATAGGAAGCAGAAGTCAATATTACTATGCATCTGTCACAGTAATGTTTTCTTAGAGCTATGAGATCAAAAGGACTAGAAACTAAATTCAGGGCAAAGAGTAATTGGTACAATCCCGTTCATTCACAGCACCTCCTAGAGGGCAGATGTTTCCATAATTCCTACCACAGTCCCATTCCCCCACCCAAAGATTAGAATGTCTTATAGTATCATTATATACAGCCATGAAAATGCAGTGGTTCACTTTGGGTTGATCGCTGCCTCTCTGCCCAGCCTACTTCACAGGATTGTTGCCGGGAAGCACGAGGGGAGATTGTTTGTGTTTGTTTTTGTAAACAAATGCAGGGAAGAGGAAGACTTATTTGAACCAGGTACACCCTCTTGCAATAGAGCAAGTTTAGCAACTCCTTCTTCACTTTGCAAAAGCTGGGGTGAAGAAGGAAATGGCAAATAAAACACCTGGAGAGATGCCCTTGAGCGAGGACAAGGAAAAAGCACGTGCACGAAGTAGATCTTGTGCTGGATTGTGATCTCCAACGCAGTACCTGAAGGTGAACTCAGCTGCATTTGATGCCGACACAGCAGGAAGGGAAGACATGCCCAGGAGGAGGGGGGAAGGGAGTGGTGGTGATGGGGAGATTCAGAAAGCTCTTTTTGTGCCAGATCTGAGTCAGCAGCATTTTTCTTCCTCTCCCTTTCAAAGCCATTCAGAGGGATCCGATGCTCTTTTATCTTTCACAAATCCTTGTTCTTCATACTTCTACAGTGTCTGTGCACAATGGCCCATTCGTTTGTTCAACTGCCTTCCAATGCAGTTGATCGCATTGGCTTCAAACTGGTTTAAAAAAAAGGAGCGGGATGGTCTTTGCTTCTTTGCAAATGTAGGGAAACTTCTGTATTTGGGAATGGCCTCTGTTTCCATTAGAACATCTGATCCAACCCTCAACCCTCAGAAAATAGATGGACTTCCCAGAATTCCCCAGCCAGCCAGGGAATTCTGGGTGTTGAAATTCACACATCTTAAAGTTGCCAAGGTTGAAAAACGTTGATTTATCTCTTGTAAAATAGGTATGGATGAGCCATTTAATCCAATAAGGATTGCTTTCTCATTCCTTATTTAAAAAAATGGAACATTCCTCCCCTCCTTTGCTTGTACGATGGGCCAGAAAAATAGGCTGATGCGGAAAAAAATCACTAAGGAAAAATGCTGGCCTTTGGCTTACAGAAGATGTATGCATAGGGCAGGGATTAAAGTAAAGGTAGACCTCGACTTAACAACCATTTGTTTAGTGACCATTCAAACTTACAATGGCCCTGAAAGAAAATGACTTATGACCATTTTTCACACTTATGACCATTGTAGCATCCCCATGGTCATGTGATCAGAGTTTGAATGCTTAGCAATTGGCATGTATTTATGACAGTCTAGGTAGAGGCAGATATTTCTTTCCGCACTGGCGACAGGAAGGGCATCCAGCCATTCAAACACTCTGCTAGCTCCATTCAGTTGCCCAGGCTCCACCCCACAAGGGATTAGGAGGTTGTTAAAAGAAGATGATGATGGTGATGACAGTCATAAATACATCCCCACAGTCCCAGGGTCGTGGGATTCCCTTTTAGACCTTCTGACAAGAAAAGTCAACGGGGAAGCCAGATTCACTTAACAACTGGGTGACTAATTTAACAACTGCAATGATTCACTTAACAAGAAAGGTAGGTTGTAAAATGTGGAAAACTTAACAACTGTCTTGATTTGCATCGGAAATTTTGAGCTCCGTGTGGTTATAATTTGAGGACTACCTGTGTTTCATTTCCATCAAAAGCATTTTATATTTCCACAAAAATAATCCCTTTTGATTTAGCAAGATTCTTCACGTCTTCTACTTTCAGTTTTCGCCTTCACTTTTCCACCCAACGCACTCTATTTTTCTTTCCTTTTTTAAAATCCAGCAATTATATTGGCTTGCTTATCATGGCATTTTCTTCCAAATTTCATTGCGCTTTTCAATACTTGGTTCTTCTTGGCTAAACACTCCATACAGAGGAGTTAGAAAGGAGTAGTTGAATAACAGAGAGAAAGGAGGAACAGGGAAAGGTGTGTGTTTTTAAAATGATAATGGATATATATTAAAACAATGGAATATTATAAAGAATTAAATTAGATCAGGGAAAGGAAAACATGTTTTTTTTTAACACTTAGCATTGGAATCCTTCATAAATGTCTGCACCAGCAATAAAAACTGAAAGAAATTGAAAATTGAAGTTAATTAAAAGAAAGGAAAATGAAAATGCAGTTAATTAAAATTAAGTACGAAGGAGCAGACTCCCCAAAAATATAAATTATTTTAAGAACAAACTAAAATGGAGAAGGCAGTAGGCAAATTGAGCAAACCAAAAATGAATAATGTCCAAAATAAAAAGGGGAAGTTGAATACTAAATTCTTTCTTCATGAATGTGGGTTTTTCTCTCTTTGTGATTATTATTTTTAATGTAGTTTTCACCTCGCTGGCCATACGTGGCATCAAGATGGAAGGAACCATGACTGAAGAAAGTCTTGTGAAGGAGTATCGATTTGTGGCCAACTATGACCAGGACGCTTAAGATGGAGGTGGCATTTCAGGCATTGATGGCTGGAAGACACTGTTAGTTCCTCACCCCTTTATAATGATGTATTAGTTGTTCTTATTGATGGGGGGAGGGGGGTCCAAATGAAAATGTCTCTTCTAAAAGATCTCTTGAAGAACAACCTGTAGAATCGGTTCTTCACAATACTGAAGAAAATAAAAACGGAGAAACAGCCAGGAAGTTGAGACAGCAAGAAGGCAAATGGTATGAAAAGCTTTGGAGCAATTTTAGATGTTAGATTACTTCCTTCAATGACAGAACAGAGATTACAGGAAAAAATATCCGTGATAGGATTCATCTATTAGCCTGCCATGATTATGCCCTGTTATTTCAAAGGTTTCAAGAACAGGCTTGGAAGCAGTATCAAAAACTTGCCAAAATGGATCGGTTGTGACTCTATAAAAAAAGTGGCTAGTCATTGGTTGACAGAATCTAGAATGGGGATGTCCAACCTTCACAACTTTAATACCGTATCTACAGAATTCTGGGAGTTGAAGTCCACAGGTCTTAAAGTCGCCAAGTTGAACACTCCCATCTAGAAGTTGAGAACGAAGTAGCAAGAACTGAAGTTAGGATTCAGAAAATGACTTGGGTTGCTTCCAGCTACAATGCATTTGTAGTTAAAAAAAAAAGATCGGGGGGAAAAACTTAGAGAAACTGGTTTTTTCCCCCAGAGCTAGATCAGTCTAGCAACAATCTCAGTGCTATGCTTCATTCCAGAATAAAGTTAGTCCTCGACTTGTAACCCTTCATTTAGCCACTGCTTGAAGTTACAACAAGGATTGGAAAAAGTGACTTACGGCCAGTCCTTACTCTTACAACTTTGACAGCAACCCTGAGAGCATTTGGCAATTGGCATGTATTTATGACCGTTGCAGAATCTCAGGGTCATGTGTGATCACCGTTTGCAGATTTCCCTGCCAGATTCCAACAAGCAAAGTTCATAGGGAAAGACAAAGCCACTTAAGGACTATGTAATTCACTAGAAGGATTCCTTTAACAACCATGGCAAAAAAAAGTCATAAAATCGGGCTAAGTCACTTAACAACCACTTGCTTAGCAAGGAAATTCTGGTTTCAGTTGTGGTCATAAGTCGAGGACTACCTGTAAAGGAAAGAAAAATAGCAAGATACTTCATTGGACCAGGCCATTCTCAGTCAAACAAAGATGGTATCTCCCTATATATTATCTGTCATTTCTTACTAACACATGGAAAGATTTATTGTTTGCAGGTGGATAAAGCTTGAGAAATGGGGCTTTTCGGCATGGAGGAAAATAAAATAAGATGCCATTTGCTGTCAGGAAACTAAATACAGTGCCAGTAAGAGTAAAGCAATTATGTGCTGTTTGATAAGTTGGGGGCACTGGACCTTTCCGATCAGGAATTGATTTTTTTTTTAAAAAAAACAAAAAACAAAACAGCATTTGGTACTTCTTCCGCTCGAGATCTGAAAAGCAGAGATGGTTTCACAACCCCATTTTTGTCTAATCTTTGGGGAGAAGGTTGAGGGAAGCATGCTTGGTGAGTTGTCTCTTGGTAGTGATTCCAACTCTCTGAGTGACAGGAGAAAACATCTGAGGCAGCATCGCAGAAGTAGAAAACGTGTTCCTTCGTGCCGCTTCTCCCACTGGTATCAAGTGGAGGATCAAGAAGGTAGGGACGGTTGAGGAAGGATTTTCCGTTGGATGGCGGAGCTTCCTGGAAGAGCCCAAAAATGAGAACAGTTTTCCAAGATGAGCATCAGCAATTCCATAGGTGGCTTGGAAGACTCCCACTAGCTGGAGAAGAAGAAAGTGGAAGAAAGGGAAAGAGAGAGAGGGGGGGGGGGGGG